TCCCCTGCCAGCTTGGTTGCCCCCAACTGCCCTCCCCTGTTTAGCGTGATCTCGCCCCCAAGGGACCTCCCCTGCCAGCCTGATCTCGCCCCTAACTGCTCTCCCCTGCCAGACTGATTACCCCTAACTGCCCTCCCCTGCAGGCCTGATCTCGCCCCCAACTGCCCCCCTGTGCTTCAGTTTCCTCATCTGTAAAACAGGGATAATGATAGTACTTATCTCATAGGGTTGTTACAAGGAATCAATGAGTTTATTTCTTGTAAAGCACTTAGAGTGGTGTTTGGTATGTCCCCTCCATGGTTGCTAGTAGGGAAATAAACCACTTTGGAAATCTCAAAGGGGGTTCTCCACTCCCCCACCCCCACCCCCACCCCAGAGGCAGTAGAATTGGGGGGGGGAGGGCGGAACGTGTGGAGAGAGAGGAGAAAATTGTGTTCCAGTGAGTCCCAGGTCTGGGCAAAAGGAAAATAAGTGACAGCAGGAGCAGGGATATGATTGCTGATCAGAAAGTAGGTCCCCAGAATGTGAACCCGGGACTTAGCCGGAGCACCAAGAGAATTTTCAGAACGTGAGTAATTTCATTGCAAGGAGGCAATGAGCCCCCACACAGATAAACCCTCACAGCAAAGTCTGTACCATGAAACAGAAGCCACGCATGGTTTGGCTGAAAGCAGCATGCCTGGAGCACGACTACCAAACAACTAGCTGGATGGGTCGAGTCTGGAAATTGAGTCATGAGTGCAAGGTGACTGCAAATGTGCAGAACAGCTGCAAGTGAAATCAAGACGAGCGGCACTACCTGTGTTGCTGTGTCGCTGGAGAGCTCCAATTCAGGATGCTGGGCCCTCAGACTGGGGCACCCCACTCTCCCCTGCCAGGAGGAAACACAGCAATACAAGTTAAGGGTTTTGAGTCAGATTGCCTGGAATTGTAGCCTGACCATTAAAAAACTGGATGACCTAAGCCAAATGCATAACTTCTCTGAGCCTGTGTTCTTATCTAGAAAATGTAATTTATGACAAAACTAGAGGCCCGGTCCATTCGTGGACAGAGGGGAGGTTCCCTCAGCCCAGCCTGCACCCACTCCAATCTGGGACCACTGGCTCCTAACCACTCACCTGCCTGC